TGTAAGTCAAACCCCATGATTACTTCTTACAAAGGTTTCTGGGCAGCTTTGGAGAAGGCTCAGTAGAGAGCACTTACCGTGCAAGCACGAGGACTGGAGTTTGGATCCACAGACCCCACATAAAAGCCAGGTAGGCATGAAAGCCACTTGTAACCCCAGTCCATAGTCGTGGAGACAGGGCCTCGCCTGGTAAACTAGACTAGCTGAATTGCTGACCTTGGATTTAACAAGAGACCCTGACTTGGTAAATAAAGTGGAGAGCAATTCAAGGGGACACTCTTTCAGTCTCTCGCCTCCCCGTGCATGTGCACACATATGCAACTATCCCAGCATAAATACAAAAGTGTACCCGCACACATGTGTATTCACATTCAAACATGTGTACACACTACACACAAATACGCACAGAACCCAAGAAAATAAAAGAAAAAGAGAGGATTTGGCTAATGAAACTCAAGCCTTGTCACATCTGAGTGACTCAGAGGCTGAGGTCTACCCTTGGAGTCCTGCACAGTGCTGCTGAGTTTGTGTGCTGCATAAGGAAATTGATGGATTTCACGTTTTGGAAACCTGTGTGTCTGTTTCAAGTCAGTATTTGGGGTTGTTCTGTTGGAGCTATGGAAGCAACATTCTGTCTTGCTTTGTTAGGAATGCTTCCTATTGAAGTTCTAATTTTGATTTCCTCTTTAACTCAGTAATTAATTAAACACATGATCTTAACATCTGGACATATGGATTTTCTTTGGGGTAGCATTTTGTTGCTCTTGTCTCCTTTGATTGAATTTGTGCAGTGAATGTAACCTCTTTGATTTTTGCTTTTGGAATTTGCTAAGATTTCCTTGGTGGATTAACATGATTGGTTCTGTCTAGTTTCATGTGTGTTTGAAAAGAAAGTGCCTTTCTCTTAGAGAAATTTCCGTACATGAATGGATGCTATATCGAGCTTTTTAGGTTTTGCTTTTTAACCATCATTTACTTTTCTCTTGTTCTGCTAACCATTTCTTGATAAGGTATATTTTGAACCTACCTTCATGCTTTTGGGTGCCAATTTCTCCTGTATTTCCATCATATTTTTATTTATGTGTGATACTATACCATATACTTAGATTGAGCTGTTACTTTTTCTTGTATGTGTATATGTGTGTGTATAAGTGTACAAGCATGTGTGGGTGTGCATATGTGTATATGCATAAGTATGTGGTGGCCATAGGATAACCAAGGTTGTCATTCCTCAAATGCCATCCACCAAACTAGCTAGGCAAGTAGGTTCAAGTAGGGCCAATGGGCCCTGGGGATCCACTTGTTTTTACCTCCTTAGTGCTGGGATTACAAGCGCACTCTGCCTCTCTTGGCTTATTCAACATGGATTCTGGGTCCTGAACTCAGGACTTGACTGAGTCAGTATCGCTAGCCCCACCTACAATTAACTTTCGAACAACTAAAAGTTTCCCTTAGTGCTTAAACTATTTTTATATTGCCACAAGCAGTGTCCAAGAATCCCAGCCTTTCTTAAGTCCTTGTTAATGCTTGTTATGTTTTGTCTATAGTCATCTGTATTATTAACTTTCTGTTGCCATGATGAAATACCTTGACCAAATTCAATACAGACGAGAAAAGATTAGTTTTTGCTCATGGTTTAAGAGTGATAGAGTCGGTCATAGTGAGGAAGGTATGACAACAGGTAGGGAAAGCATGCTACAGGAGTAGGAGCCAACTGATCACGTGTTCATGCACACATGGGAAGCAAGTGGGGCTGGGTCATGAAACCTCAAAGCCTGTTCCCTGAGACACACTTCCTCCAACAGGCTTGTACTTCCTAAAGGTTCCATAAACTCTCCAAACAGCACCATAAACTGGAGGCCAAATGCTCAAAGACATGAACCTATGGGGACATTTCTCAGTCTGAACACCACAGTGTGTTATCCCATTAGATGCCAAGTGGTCTCACTGTGGTCAGGTGGGCTGATTGTGGCATCACAGTGTGTTATCCCAGTAGAAGCCAAGTGGTCTCACTGTGGTTAGGTGGGTTGATTGTAGCATCTTGGCTATTTCTATTTTCTTTGTAGAAAAACCTAGTCAAGATCCTCAGGCATTTAAAACCTGAGCTGTTTATCTTTTGCTTTTGGTAGGAGCTCATTGTATTCTATTCTACATATTAAATACTTCTCAGATGTTTGACGTACAAATATTTTTAATTTAATAGGTTGTGTTTCTCTTTCTTTCTTTCTTTCTTTCTTTCTTTCTTTCTTTCTTTCTTTCTTTCTTTCTTTCTTTCTTTCTTTCTTTCTTTCTTTCTTCCTTTCTTCCTTTCTTCCTTTCTTCCTTTCTTTCTGTTTTTTTTTTTCAACATGAGATTTCTCTGTGTTGTTTTGGTGACTGTCCTGGATCTTTCTCTGTAGCCCAGGCTGGCCTCGAACACACAGAGGTCCACCTGGCTCTGCCTCCCAAGTGCTGGGATTAAAGGCGTGCGCCACCACTGCCCAGCATGTTTCACTTTCTTGATAATTCTCTTTATTCCCCAGAAATTTTAACTTCGATGTAGTCTAGTTATATCTGTTTTTGCTTTTGTTGCTCCTGTTTTCGGTGTCGTGTCTATAAATGCAGCCAAACTTAAGGCAAAGGAGATTGAAATATTATTTGCTTGTAAGAGTTTCATAAGAGTATCTTTTATATTATGTTAATTCTCTCTCTCTCTCTCTCTCTCTCTCTCTCTCTCTCTCTCTCTCTCTCTCTCTCTCCCTCCCTCTCTCTCTCCCCCTCTCTCTATGGGCATACACATGGTATGCATGTATGTAGGTCAGAGGACAGCCTCATGATTGGTCCTTCCTTCTACCACATTTAAGACAGTGTCTTTGTTTTGATACAGTGTATTATGGGCTAGCTGGCCTGTGAGCTTCCTGGTATTATTCTGTCTTTGTGTTCATGTTTGAATAAAAGCACTGGGATTACAGATGTGTGCAGCCATGCCCAGCTTTATGGGAATTTGGGATTTGAGCTCAGATCCTCACACTTGTATAACAAGTTTTCTCAACCCCTAGATTAAGTCTTATATTTGTGACGTGATAAGAGGGACCCGATTTTATTTTATTTTTCCATGTGATTATTCAGGTGTTCCAAAGTAGTTTGCAGAGAGATCATTTTCTTCTCATTCTCTGGATTAGGGTCACTTGTCTAAAATTCACTAACTATGGATGTGTGCCTTTATTTCTAGACTCTCAGTTCTGCCCTATAAGCTATAGTTATCTCTCCTAATGATTGTGGCTTTGTAGTGAGTTCAAATCTAAGAAGACTAAGGTCTGTCAAGTTAGGTATTTAAAATAATTAATTAAAAGCTTAAGTATTTTTATTCAGTACCAGGGATACATTTTGGCATTATAAAATATTTATAGAACAAATAAATTCAAGTTCATATTTTCAAATTCCTGGCATGTTACTCTTTGAAATTTGGAAACAATAAACCTGTATTCCCTGGAATTTTCAGAAATTGGAAAATTATGATTATTTTAAACATATTTCTAACACTATTTGGACAGATAAATTCATTTTTAAAAAATAAAATTTGTTTACTTCAGTAGTATATGCAAAGAAATATAGCCTTCAAAACAAATTCAACTTTTTGCCATGTTATCTTATGAATTTGAAAATTGATTTTTTTATGAAGATATTTCCTCTGAGTTGAAATGTTGCTCTTTAGTCTCCTTAAGGCTCAGAAATTTCTAAATTAAAACTTTCTGTCTTAGAGAGAGGATAAGACACAGGTGGTAAAGAACTTACAAGTCTCAAGAACTCTCTGAAACTTATAATATTCAGGAGGATGCTCCCTGTTCAGGTAAGGATTGCTGAGAAAAGGAGGGTCTCTTCATGGAATTTTCCCAGGGGCCTTCACTGAGCAGATTCCTCCCAGAGTCCTGGGGAAGATCCTGCGTCCAGCATGGGGTTATCTGAGGGAAAAGAATCTATGTACACTATGCTCTTTTGTCTGTTTCCTTATTTCTCTATGAAAAATTCTATGTATACAGCTTCAGCTCCATCCTCACACTCAGGTCTTCTCTGTACCCACTTTTCCTGTCCTCATAGTTTTAGTAAGCTCCTGTGCTTTCAACCTCATCTTCATCCTCTGTCCCTTCATCCTCCATCTTTCCTTTCTTGCTTCTTACACTGGCCCTGAGAAACTCTGCCCTGTTTTCTTCTCTCTGGCCATGCAGTTCTGTCTACCATCTATAGAAACTGCCTTAGTCTTTCTTTTCTGGCCACCCAACTCTGCTTTGACCAGGAATCCTGCTCTACCCTTCACTCTACCTGGATATGCAAAAACTTCCTTTGTTCTGAGTCATTTGCTTTGGAATGCCATTTTCCTGTCTGGAGAAGGGAGGTCTGGGCTTCATTTGCACAAGAAACAAAGCTATGCACCTACAGCCCACCTGCCTCCTAGGCCCTGAAGGGGTGTTACCAACTTGTTCAGCAGTAGGTCTGAGAAGCTAAACTGTTGGCCATATGACCTAGCAGTACATGGGTGCACAAGAATTTCATAGCAGAAGACAGCTGATATATATTAATAAGCTAAATAACACTAAATATTCCTTGATGAATGACTTCCTCTTAAAGGACTCCTTGGTCAGTTAAAGTATAGTATATTACATACAGCTGAATCTCTCCAATATGTTCTTGTGGCCTGCTGCAGTCTCTGACTTGACAAGCTGTCTGCATAAGTGCATGGAGCTCCAGGATCTCAGCTTTCATTAGTCAGAATCTGAAGTGGGGTTAGCTTTCCAGTGACACAGCTGCCTTTGGTCCATTTCTGTAAGCAAGACCCATTTATGTTCCTACAAGTAATCCAAATTAGATCATTGGTTCACCAGATTGGACTTGGATGGAAAGATTAACTTGGCCTATCATCAGTCCCTTAACAGGGATAAATCCATACAGTTCATATCTTCCCAGGAAAAGTCACACAACATTTTAATAAATGTCATAGCTTCATGCCTGTTGGAATAAAATACCTTGCAAAAGCAACTGAAAGGAGAAAAAATTTCCCCATATAATTCCAGGCTACAGTCCATCATTGTGGGAAGTCAAGATAGGAAGAACTTGAGGCAGGTGGTCACATTCTTTCCATTGTCAAGAGCAGGGAACAATGAATCAATGCATTAATGTTAGTAGTCAGCTTGCTTTCTTCACTCTTACACAGTCTAGAATCCCCTTTCTGGGGAATGGTGCTATGCACAGTGGGTGGATATTAACAATATTAATAATTGTTATAATAATAA